CTATGAAGATAAAGAGAGAGTAATAATAAAGGGTGAAATTCCATAGTACTATGTAGCCAATGTTTGGTTAATTAAGTGGAGTAACTTAAGAGTACAACAAATATATTATGAGAAGTATTTCTCTTAGAAAAACTTAGAGATGTTTCTGTCCTCTAGAGGAAGATCACTTCAATATCTCAACATCTCAATATCCCCACATACTAACAAGTTTCACTTGGTACTTTCTTGTACAATTTTCATTAATTTCTTGTATAGTATTTCTAATATAAATATTCATGAAGTTATCATTATAATATATATTAATTCATCAACATAACCTATTTAGGAGTTGACTTTGCATGTAAATGGACCCTGGCTACCTGTATATTTCAAGTACCTGTATATTTCAAAGAAGTCATTTAACCCAGGAGTCTCAGATACATTTTGTTCTTCTATCATTTACTTGATTCTTTTGTGACCTCTTAGTCATTTAAGACCAGATTTTTTTAAGAGCAGTTAGCTAATAAAATAAATCATTCACACATTCATTTGGCACATGTTAGCCTTTAAGTTAAATATTTTCCATTTTTAACTAAGAACTGTTTTATCTGCTATTCGTATATATGGATAGAAATACAGAGAAGTATAGTAATTTCTATACTTTCTATATGAATCCTTTTATTCCTCTTTCTTAATCATTTAAAGTCTTTGGTGTTATATATTACTATTTATGCTCTCCATTTGATCTTTGTGGCACTTACTCGTCAGTATTTAGCACTGTGACAAAGTTATCCTCTTCTTTTATAGTGCGATGATCAGTGTTGACACTCTGACCATGTCCAGCCATAGTGAGAGCCTCCATTTCTCAAATGGATATGCTTTCTTTACATTTTAAACAAGTCTTATATTTTAACATAATAAAGTAGGAAAAAAGCATCACTCACAATTTCCTATCTTTAACCAGCATTTACCTGAGAGACATTTTGGTCCGTGACTTGTAAGGACACTCAATTTCTAGGATTAGACCTGCCAGTAATTCTCTCTGATCTTAAGAAAGTCATGTGAGCAAGTAACTTTTTTAGTTTTCTTATCTGCCAAAAAGGGAGATTAATATCTTCCTTATCTATTTCATAGGGTTATTGTAGGTCAAATATGATAATAGATTTGAAAATGCCTTGGAAAGTTAATAACATTGATAGTGACCATGGTGACAATGGCTGCTGCTATTACATGTGTGATGGACCAGGCCCTGCACTATGGGCTTTTTGTGTTACATCTCTTGATGTTTGCAGTGTTCTTGAGAATGGCTAATACTGTCTCCGTTTAAAGATGAGGACACTGTTAAAAAGAAGATAAGTATAGATAAGGTATTTGAGGATTTCAAAAGGGAAGGAATAGTTGCTTCTGGCTGGGATTCAGTAATCCCTTGCTGGTCAAGGTGATATTTTGACTGAGTCTTACATCATTTATGCAAAATGTTGCCTTGCTGGCACAGAAATGCCTTTTACGTACCCACCATTTAATTAATCTTTGTTTGTAAAACCAGTATCTCTTATCCCCAAACTGAAAGTTTGCCTCAAATACACAGTTTGTCTTAGGTTGCTTTTTACTTTTTTATCCCTCACACATGGTGGAAATTATGCTGCCTTGATTTCTTTAGGGAAGGCAGGCCACTGGTTTCTCCCTAAGGCTGTGTTGGAGGACATTTTCTATGAGAGACTTTAGAGTGCTTCGTGGAGAACATTGTGCTGTTCTAGCCTCGTGGTACAGCCTAGATGGCACTGCTCAGCATTCTTCACCAAGTCCATTTAAGTCACCAGGCATGCTGCAGTGTGCCAGGACTTTGGTGATAGTCAGTACCATACAGTGTGTTTATTCCATGCCGCAGTACACAAGGATGATAGTCAATACCATAGATGATAGATTGATAGATCGATCGATCTATGTTAAGGTAGATAGTTATTCTATACTGCAGTACACCAGAGTTCTAGTGATACTACCATAAAGCATGTTTTTTCTACACAGCAGTGCATCATAGAGTGTGCTTATTGAAATATCATACAGCATGCTGATTCTTTGCCACAGTACACCAGGGCTGTGGTGATAGTACCACTAAGTATGTTTATTCTGGGGATGTCTGGGTGGCTCAGTTGGCTAAGTGTCTGCCTTCAGCTCATATATGGTCTCAGCGTCGTGGGATCGAGCCCTGCGTCAGGCTCCCTGCTCGGCGGGGAGTCTGCTTCTCCCTCTCCCTCTGCCTCCTCCCCGTGCTCATGCTCATGCCCTCCACCATCAAATAAATAAATGAAATCTATAAAAAAAAAAAAAAAGAATGTTTACTCTGTGCTGCAGTGCCTGGGCTGTGGTGATAGTTAATACCATGAAGCATGTTTATTTTACAAGTTATTTAGTGCTATTTATCTTCAGCAGAAACCATAGTTTTAGAAATATTGCCAGGATTTATCATAAAAATCTTCAAAGAGTGTAGTTAGTAGCAGTATGATTCATCTTAGATATATAGGTATTTCTGCTATAATAACTATGTTTCTACAATGTCTTGCCTTCATACAATCTGTCAAAGGTCTATGGGAACTGTAGGATTGGGCAGACCGCTGAAAACCTATTTCACTTTTAGTCAGAGCTGCATAAGACGATAATTAGTACCCAAGGAGAGAACTTGTGCAGCTCAGGCAGACCACTGAGTGTGTCTGGAGGCTGCCAAGGCAGACACTTAGCCGCACAGAGCCGAGAGGATGTGCTCTGCCAGACCATCTGATTTCATGGGCGCTGGAGCTCTGAACAGCAGCTGCTGTCATTGGTTGATGGGAGAGGTTCCATGCCTACTGCACAGTTTTAGGGATGGGGCCTGACTACAGGTACAAGTTTTAAAAATTCTTAAAATAGGGGCAGCTGGGTGGCTCAGTCGTTAAGCTTCTGCCTTCGGCTCAGGTCATGACCCCAGGGTCCTGGGATTGAGCCCCGCATCCATCTCCCTGCTCCGTGGGAAGACTGCTTCTCCCTCCCCCACTCCCCCTGCTTGTGTTCCCTCTCACTGTGTTTCTCTCTGTCAAATAAAGAAAAAAATATTTAAAAAAATAAAAAAAATAAAAATTCTTATATTGTCCACAAATGCTCCTGTAGCTACTGCATTTAAACCTAGGGCATTTCCCTCTGCTGCTAAAGACCCTAATTCTCCACCCATTGCTCTGGCTGCCCTACAAGGGAAAAGTGGTGTATGTACCAGAGTGACCTGACTTCTTTTCCTATTCATCAACGGAGGGTGAGCCACTTTTTATTAAAGTAACAACTATTATGGCAGAAAAAGACTCAGTGCTTACTTCCTAGTTAGTGCCTTTCTGTAATACTTGTTTTCAATCCTCTACTTCCCTCCCCCGTAGTGACTAGTACCGCCAGCCTGACATTGTGCTTGTTCATATCCTTCCCCCATTCTGTTTCCTTCCTTACCTTAAGAAATAGTAGCAAGATAGGTACATACCTTAGGAAACAGTAGTTCAAGACAGTGCTCAGTGGTGTGGCCTTGCTTAATATGTGAACACATGCTGTTGGCACTTAGAGAAAGGAAGGAATGGAAAATTAGGAGTGAGTGGAAAATGAAGAAGAAGGGGAGAAAGAAATGGAAATGAAATTAAATTATATAACTAGAATGTTGGTGCTATTTAAATATTAATTTTTATTATTCACTATTAACCAGTTGGCTAAAGTGATAAAGAAAACTCATATCAGTCAGTGTCTATTATCATTATTAGCAGGGTACTATGCTGGACACTTAGCTTTTGTTATTTCATTTCATTTATTTTTTTAAATTAAAAAACAAAGTAATAGAAAAACATAAGTATACTTACCACCTGTGATTATAACACATTTTAATCTTTTGTCTTTGATTCACATATTTTTATAATAGAAACAATATGGCAGATAAGTGTGAAATCCTGAGTCATGCTCCTTTCTCTCTCCTTAGGTATGTGTTTCTATGTATCCTGCTAGTCATATTTATATACTTGTGTTACATATGTATCCTCAACAATACTTATTGTTTTCTGTGCTTAAAAAAAATAACATTATGGGTATCATACTCTACATTATCTTGTTTATACCCTCTTGTTTTTAAGATCTCTCCATGCTAATACATATAGACCAGGTCCACTATTGCTAACTTCACAGTGTTCTGTTGTATGTACACAGCATGGTTTACCCTTCCTCCTATTGATTTGTGGTGGGTCCAGTTTTCTGCTCTTATAAACAGTACTGAGGTATGCATCCTTATTTAGGTCTCCTGGTGTTGTAACAGTTTCTAGGACACATATGGGTTTTAGGTTACGCACACTGTCAACTTCAGTTCTCTCATTTAATTCTTAAAAATGTTCTTTGAGGCAGGTGGCATGATCCCCATTTTATACATGAGAAAACAAATGTTGAAATGCTATCTATCCTGACCGAACTTAATTAATCAGAGAGCCAGTACTTAAATTTAGATTAAATTCCATCTATATAAATCTTGAGCCCTAACATTCAGCATTCGTCAGAAATTCTTACCTTTAATCTTTATGATCATTAGAACATTTGCAACCAGCCGGTCTCCTGTATCATTTCCGAAGTAGAAAATCAAAGCAGTTAATGAGGTAGAGGAAGCATATAAGAAAGAAGAAGGATCAATAAGTAATCTTACTCTCTTTGTTGTGGTTATCAAAAGAGTTAAAGTTTTGGTGTAAAAACATGCTCTGTATAAATGATGGTTCTGAGTCTTCTGTGTATGCAAGACTGTTTCTTTATGATGGAAGACTATTTTTTATGTTGCTTAAAATGCAACATGTAAGTTATTCTGATTAAAAAGATGTTACAGTGCGTGTGTTAGAGTCTACATGTTACAAAGTATACAAACCATTTTCTCAAGGTGAATAAAGCAATCTTAATTGGTTCTTTTTTTTCATGACATTTTATTCACAGTTGGACCGTATGTCTATTATACTTCATTTTGCTTTTTTTTTTTTTTCACCTTCTAGGTAGAAAATCAGGTGTATTAATTGTGAAAATTCTAGAGCTGCATGAGGAATGCACCATCCAAGTTGCCATGTGTGAGCATTTAGCAGGGCTGCAGGCCAACAACCCTTCTCAAGGTGAGGCCCCTAGGACTGGCCTGAAGGTTCTGTTCACCAAGGAGACTGCTCACCACCTCAGGGGACATCCCCAAGACATCGTCCATATCTACCCTCCCTGGTGAGTGCAAAGAACTGATTCCAGGAGTCACTAACTGTGAGTTTGTCTCAAAAGATGTTTTTATGATGAACATTTTTGTCACCTTATTATGGAGAAATGCCAGGAGAAGGAAGCCAGAATTTGACAGATTTTATGTAACAGAAGCACTGACCTGTATTTGAATGCTTGTCTGTACTTTTGGCAGGAAATTTTTGATAATTTGAGGACAGAGGGGCGAGGTAGAAACAACCATATCAAGATTCCTGTCTAAGTGGTGTCTTATAAAATCTGGCTGTTACTGTTTTTGTCTTTCTTAGAAATACAATTTTAGTTAAGAGGCATTATGTGACAGTATGATAATGCACATTAATATTTCTTTGCTAATCACTTTGGGAGGGATGAAAAGCATATATTAAGACATAGGAGGGTTTGATCTTTAGAAGCATAAATGGTCATTAATGAATCAAATTATTTTTAAGGACACATGTTTGCTTCTCTATAGGTTGTTATTTTTACTCCAAAAAGAAGAAAATCTTACTATTTTTGAGGGAATGTTTGAGCAGCCTTGTTTTAAGAGCTATCTATTAATTTTATTGGCAAATTTTTAGAAGTTTCATTCATCTGCTAAACTCTTAGTTTTGAAGTTGACTTACAGGTCTTAAAAGTTAAACATCCCTCCCACAGGGATCTTTTTTTCAGTGTCCATAGTGAATGATTCTCAGTCTTTACTTAAATTCTTCCACTAACAGGCTGTGGATATCATTTATTTTGTTTTGTTTTGTTTTTTAATGTATCTTTTATTGAAGAGTATAAGATATATACAGGATCATACATAAATTATAAGAATACATTTCTACAAATAATCACAAAGTGACTATGTAATTTCTTTTTTTTTTTTTTAAAGATTTTTTATTTATTTGAGAGAGAGCTTGGGAGAGAGATACAGCATGTGTGCATGAGCGGGGGGAGGGGCAGAGGGAGAGGGAGAAGCAGACTCCCCACTGAGCAGGGAGCCTGATGTGGCACTAGATCTCAGGACCCTGGGATCATGACCTGAGCCGAAGGCAGCTGCTTAACTAACTGAACCACACAGGTGCCCTGACTATGTAATTTCTATCCAGTCCAAGAAACAGAATGCAGTGCATACCTGGGGTCACCCCATCCCCCTCTCATTTCCTCCCTCTCCCTCCCACACCAGGTGACTATGATCCTGACTTATGATATAATAGAGTCTTTGGAATGTTTGAGAACTTCGTATAAATAGAACCATGTAGGGGCGCCTGGGTGGCTCAGTCGTTAAGCTTCTGCGTTCGGCTCAGGTCATGGTCCCAGGGTCCTGGGATCGAACCCCACATCGGGCTCCCTGCTCAGCGGGGAGCCTGCTTCTCTCTCTTCCACTCCCCCTGCTTGTGTTCCCTCTCTCGCTGTGTCTCTCTCTGGGTCAAATAAATGAATAATAAAAAAAAAAAGATCCATGCAGTAATCATACAATATGCATTCTCTTTTGCCTGACTACTTTCACTTAATATTATGCTTGTGAGATTCATCAATGTTGTTATATTTAGCAGTTTGTTCATTTTTATTGCTATAAAGTATTCCATTATATTAATTTATGCAATTAATGCATCTGTTCTTCTGTTGATAGTTAGGTGTCTTCAGTTTGAGGATATTATGAATTAATACTGTAATGACCAACCGTCTTTCTGTGTAGCTCACTCAAGAATACAATACAAATGGGGCGCCTGGGTGGCTCAGTCCATTAAATGTCTGCCTTCAGCTCAGGTCATGACCCCAAGGTCCTGGTATTGAGCCCTACATCAGGCTCCCTGCTCAGTGGGGAGTCTGCTTCTCCCTCTGCCCCTCCACCACTGCTTGTGCTTGTGCTCTCTCTCAAATAAATAAATAAAATAAAAAATAAGAATACAATGCCATTAATTCTCCTCTCTGAAATTTCTCATCATACTAAAATCATGCCATTATTTTTCTACTATGTTAAAAATGTTTTTTTAATTCATCTTGACTGTACTTCCTCTCCCCACCATGGCCATATTGCCTCCCATTCTCTACTGAGCCTGTTTGTTTAGGCTTCCAGCCCACCACTCCCCATACCACACCCCTGGCATTGGCAGTGACCTCCATGCTGCTTCTCCTGTGGTCACTTGTGTGGCCCTCATGTCTCCCTGCAGTTAGTGCTCACTCCTGCTTTGTTGCCTGCCTCCGCTGTGCTCCTCCTCATGCCTTTCTCTGGCTTCTCAGTACTAAAGTGCTTGCTGGGCTCAGTACTGACCTCTTCTCTATCCTGTCCACCTCACCTGCTTGGTGCTTTCATTTCATCTTGTAACTTCAAATGCCAGCCGCACACTGATCCTTCCCAAGACCCACCCTCTGCTCCATCACCAGAGCAGCATTCCTTATTGCCTCAGCCATGGTTCCACTTGGGTGCTGAAGGCATGGCAGAATCAACCTCCTGACCTTCCCTCCACTTCCCCACTCTTCCCCAACTCAGGAAATGGAAACCACCTTCTTGTAGTTCCTCCACATATCATCAACTCCTCTTTTTCTCATAATCTCCCTTCTGCCTGTGGGAACCTCCTGGTAGCTCCACTTCCAAATGCACAGAGTCCAGCACTTCTTGCCACCTCTACTCTTAGAACATTTCCAGGTAATTATTGTCTGTCTTTGGGATTGTTGCAGTAGTTTCTTAAATCATTTCCTTGCTTCTTTCCGTGCTCTCCTTCTGTCTCTTTCAAGATGACTAAAGGAGCACAGCTGTGAATATGTAAGTTGTCATACCACTTTTTGTCTCCACATGCCCCAGTGTCTGTTCACCTCATACACAAACCCCTCCTGAGCTCTGGGGCCTTATCTCCCACCCCTTTCTCCTTCCCCAGTTCCATCGTGGCCACCTGGGACTCCACTCTGGTCCTCAGGTTCCACACCACTTTCCCCCTGGTGCCTGGGTTCTTGTCTGTGCTGGGTTCCTTTTTTTTTTTTTTTTTTTAAAGATTGATTGATTGATTGATTTGACAGAGAGAGAGAACAAGTAGGCAGAGAGGCAGGCAGAGGGAGAGGGAGAAGCAGGCTCCCCGCCGAGCAGGAAGCCCGATACGGGACTCGATCCCAGGAGCCCAAGGCAGCCGCTTAACCGGCTGAGCCACCCAGGCACTCCTGCCTGTGCTGGGTTCTTGCCTGTGCTGGGGTGCTCTGTTCCACACCTCCCCATGTCTGCATGGTTTGCAGTTTTCTTATCTTCTCTGGGCATTTACTCAGATGTCACCTTCTCAAGAGTCCTTCCTTTGGTCCCATACCTAAAATTGGAAACTACCTCCTTCCACACCCTTTATTGTCCTTTCCTACTTTGTTTTCACAATCAGGCAAATTAAAGTATTTTAGTTTAGAATTTTGCTATGGAATGAGTGAGCAATTTCCTCCCTGTCCTGACAGTGCTCCTACTGTCTAGGGTCTTGTTCCTGTAATTTCTTGTGTTCTTTCAACTGTTTTATTGGAAGTCCTTTCTGGAAGCTTATAGTAAAACTCAGTAATATTGAGAATATTTGATTTTTGCAGAATGTCCTATTTTATCTTCTTATATACAACAACAGTTTATGTTTTCATTTATTGTATTTCAACAAAAAAAATGTATATTCAAGCTATGCTGAGTTTTTTACAGTGAGACACTGGAAACTCCAGCATAGTTGTGTTTGGAACTACATTTAGAAACTTTAGTGTACTCTGTAAGACTGTTGAATCACAGACCTGTACCTCTGAAACAAATAATACATTATATGTTAAAAAAAAAAAAAAGAAGAGGATAGCAGGAGGGGAAGAATGAAGGGGGGGAATCGGAGGGGGAGACAAACCATGAGAGACTATGGACTCTGAGAAACAAACTGAGGGTTCTAGAGGGGAGGGGGTTGGGGGGATGGGTTAGCCTGGTGATGGGTATTAAAGAGGGCACGTTCTGTATGGAGCACTGGGTGTTATACGCAAACAATGAATCATGGAACACTCCACCAAAAACTAATGATGTAATGTATGGTGATTAACATAACATAATAATAAAAAAATAAAGGGAAAAAAAAAGAAACATTAGTGTACTCTGGATCCTGGCTTTTGCCCCTATATGTTTTCTTCATTTTATTTATATATATATTTTTAATTTATTTATTTTAATTCCAGTATAATTAATGTACAGTGTTATATTAGTTTCAGGTATATGATATAGTGATTCAACAATTCTGTACATTACTCAGTACTCACTACAATAAGAGTACTCTTAATCCTCTTCACCTATTTCACCCATCACTGCACCAGCCTTCCCTCTGGTAACCACCAGTTTGTTCCCATATTTAAGAGTCTGTTTTTTTGGGTTTTGGGGGGGGGGTTGTCTCTTTTTTCTTTGTTTCTTTTCTTAAATTCCATATGTGATTTCATTATTTTTTATGGTTGAATAATATACATATATATTTTATAGACACACACACACACACACACACACACCACAGTCTCATATTTAGTTCTTTAATACATTTTGACTTTATTTTTATGTATGGTGTAAGAAAGTGGTCCAGTTTCATTCTTTTGCATGTTGCTGTTCAGTTTTCCCAACACCATTTATTGAAGATACTGCATATTCTTGTTTCCTTTGTCATAGATTAATTGACCATATAATCATGGGTTTATTTCCAGGCTCTCTATTCTGTTTCATTGATCTATGTATCTACTTTTGTGCCAGTACCATACTGTTTTGATTTACTATAGTTTTGTGGTATGTCTTGAAATCTGGGATTGTGATACCTCCAGTTTTATTCTTTTTCAAGATTACTTTGGCTATTCAAGGTCTTTTGTGGTTCCATATAAATTTTAGGATTATTTATTTCTGTGAAAAATGCTGTTGGTATTTTGATAGATATTACCTTAAATCTATAGATTGCTTTGGGTAGTAATGACATTTTAACAATATTTGTTCTTCCAATCCATGAGCATGGAATGTTTTTCCATTTCTTTGTGTCATGTTCAGT